CGAGTTTATGACGCTTACATGGCAAATTTTTTAAGCAACTTTGTTAGGATTGTTAGAAATACTTGTTTAATTGAATCTGAATTATTCTTAGCTCATCTGTAAATTTTTGTAACTTGTTCAAATTTATGTCGTGGCGCATACACTGCCGTAGTTTCCGCGGGGCAATCACTACACAAAAGCCTTGTGTGATCGTATAGTCTTTGGTCGTACACGCAGGATACAACTGACAAATTAAAAATCCTACCTAACGATAACCATTGAATCCTGCCTCATCAAGAACCATTTGCATAGTTCACAAAAGCACGGCAATTAATTTCAATAAATAGATTTCAACAAGTTAAGAAAATTTACAGATAAGCAAAGAAAAATCAGATTCAATTGAGTAATTCTAACAAGGCGTGGCGATCATAAAAGCATGGACGTATCCAAGGGGTCAATGAGATGTGCGTTGATGTAAAGGGAGTTAACAATTAAGCTTCCGCGTCCCATCCACAACCGAGACTTGTGATATGAAATTAAGACTAAAGCTGTTGTGTTGAACGTCATCAGTGTTGGCGCTCGTCTCAACGAATAGTTTAATAACCTGGCCCTACAATATCGAAACTCGCGTATGTACAGTTAGCGACCTACGTACGCGTACGTAGCGGCCGATTTCTCGTCAGCCATTGGTGGGTTTAGCATGAAAAGCCGTCATTGATTAGCTATTGTATTTACCGACTCCCAAGTATTATTAACTGTACGGCTATAGTAGTCTTGCATTCTGCATGACCAAGGAACGTACGTACTGCTTTTTTCTACTTTAGTTAGGTTATAATAAGGGATCGCTGGTGGCACAAAATATTTCAAATAGTGATGATTTCTCTCTGGCCTAAGGCATTTACCCTGTTGAATTTGTCCGAGACTCGTATTGTAGGCCTCAAATTAGGCCGTTTCGTGAAGTTCAATGAGAACATGTAAGTTTTAACGAATTAAAGAGACTGATTTTTTTATGTTTTCATCTTTCACATGAGCGATTTTACCGAGAGAATTAAATATTAGGTTACCATTCAATAAACATGGGTATTTTTTGTTGTAAATGAGATGAGTAGCTAACTTCAATTTCTGCAGCGAAACTCTTATCTACGAAGCACTTGACCTATTTTGCTTAATATTGCGACCCACTTGCCTCATTTTTATTTGTTTGGGGTAATAATTTTAGCCACTCAAGTCTGTAATAAAGTCTGTTTACCACTTTTTTCGTGATGCTTGTTTGACTGGAGGACCAATAATTTCATTTCTTGGAAACGTTTCCTAGTGAATTTTGCCAAAACAATTTAATAACAAAGTTGTAAACTTTATAACACCCACTGGGGTAGGCAAAGTGATGAAGGTTCAAACTCATAGGAAATTAATGTGAAACTAATGCAGTACTGGCGAAACTACAATAATTATTGCTTTCATTTAATACATTTGCATAACTTGTTCAATTAGCTGGATCATTTTTCACGGCTCCCTAATTTTTTTACTCTTCACATTTGTCTACTTTATCAAATAATAAAAATCAGTATTGCCATTATGATTGTTCGAGACAATTTAATTTCTCTTCACGATGGCCTTATTGATTAAAATATTTCGGTGGATTATGATATTAACTTAAATGTTCAATTCCTTGCGTTATCGAGAAAGATCGCATCATGTATTGCATGCTATGGTTGACAGTCCTGAACAATAATCCTGGAGCTTCTATAAAGCAAATTATTCGCTACTCCAGGACTGATTGCAGCATCGCAACTTTCAACAGCGGTAACTTATATCGTCAGATAAAAAAGAGCTATTCTCTAGAATACATAATGTCCGCGTTATGGCCCACTGCCAGATAAATAGTATGATGTATATGAGTGAAACATTACCCCAATTTTACTATAAACTAAATGGAGCGTATTAGTTCAATTTAATCTGAAACGCAATTCCTTTTATCGTTCAGTTGTTGATCGGTGTCAAATCATATCAAGCTCAATGTTTCGTTCAATTTAACGTTTTAATTTATGTTGTTAATGAGGCATTAGATGAAATCAGTCTCCAGTACCAGGATAACATTGAAATTGAAACTCAACTGCGGTGAACTTGAATTTCAAGCAAATATTAATGCCACACAAATTTTGGTTTCGTATTCGCAAGATATTTAAATTCTTGAAGTAAATTCATGTAACAAATTATGTGCGGAGAACAGATATCAGCGACCTTGTTGTAAAGTGTTATTTCTTGGATTGTCCACCTTCCAAGATTTAATTCATTGACTGCATTGTTCACTTCTTCGCCAATCCGATTAGAAAGTTATTTAGTTTATTTAACTCTCAGGTAACATGGGAAACTTGAACATTATTTATCTTTTATCCGAACAATAATAGACACGCGTCCAGTTTACGAGCTCTCTATATTTATAATTAGTTTTTAACTTAATATGATAGTCACTTAACGTTTTTAATGTCTATTGGTGGATACACTGATTATCGTATTAAATAATAAGCTTCCTTGTCATTTGATTTGTCACTTTAAGCGACGAGCGGTGTTTGTCTCATTTTACCTTCATCATTTGTTTTAATTCCATGAAACGTTAGTGCGTTATGTGGCATGAAAAATATGCAACCCTACACCGATCCAACCATCAGTTTTCGAACCGTCTCTTCCATTTTTATGTAATGAGAAAATGACTTTCTATCGATGCAAAGGAGGAGCACTGAAAATTCCATTCATACGATCAAATCAAAATGATGCAAAACAGCCGTATTCCTGAATCAGCTCAAATTATTTAAGCGTTACAAGTCTAGCTTATACATGCTCAACTAATCGCATAGGTTAACTATTAAGGTTTGCAAACCCTCAAAGTCATTTAACTGATCTTAGAAGAAGTGATTCGGGTGTACTTAATCAGAACAACACGTACTGACATAAAAAAAATAAAAATCTTGAGAAAAAATTAATTTCAGCAGAAATCAGACCGTGCGTCATTATTAGCTAGGCTCCACGAGGCTTGACAGTTCACTTTTCTTGCTATAACAAACCAGCTCATTAGATGCAGGCCGGTATGATCACGAATGCCTGATGTAGTCATATTAGATGATCATATTACATATTAGCTGTGCAAGTGATGAAAACTTACTAGTTTATTGGCTGAACATTCGAACATGGAAATGAAACTCTGATGATGTTTTTGGCCAAATAAAACACATTTTCTCCAATCAAGTCACTCCTTTCTGAGCGCAGCAATTGTGATGACTATGCTTGTGGATGTAACGAGCTCTTTAGCGCATTTGCTCATTTATGGAAAAAATGCATTATTGTGCTATCCATGTCCGTCCGTCCGTCCGTCCGTCCGTCTTTCCTTCCTTGACTTCATGTTTTCGTCGACGAGAAAATGCCACTCACTGCAGTGAGTACTGAGTTATATTTTTTTGATATTGAAACCCCACATATTTGTTGTTCCATCAGTTATAATTCTACATTATTATACTTATTTTTTAGTATGAAAACAAATTAACAATTTTTTGAACATATTTAGAATTGATACTGCAAGTATCCTCGAATCCAACTCGAATTTGGAAATTATTTTGTTAGATTTTTTTTTGCAATTAACATTTGATGCTAATTTAATTTGACGATGTGAAGCTTACCGTCTTGAATAACGTAATATAATTTTAGCCAAAATTGCTTGAAATTGATGTTATTTCAAACTTGTGATTATATAATACGAGCTCGTCTCGAAACGTTTTCAAGACATAGTGAATTTACTTGGCATTTCCTTTGCTGTCAAATTATTGGTGAACTTGCAATTTAAGCAGACTAACGATGACGCTATTACAGGTTGGTACGGTATTATTAAACCGTATTCTATACGGTATCATTATACCGTATTCTATACGATATTATTATACCGTAGGTATTTTATATCTAAATGGTCATCAAACAGTGATTATTTGATAATTATGTCTCTTCTAATTTTATTTTGATCAATTTTCCTCTCATCCATATTCTATGAACGTAATGGCTGTACAATAATTGCGAATTTTGTTTTGATGACCAGCCTGCAACAATTGTTTTAACCTCTTTGGAACAAAGCCAATGATTCCAAAATTGATTTATATTGTTAAATTAATATTTGATGAGATTATTCATATATTTGTTTATCTATCAAAGATATATCTGTTTGAAAATGTTTTAAATTAGAGAAAATATGGAAAAATTAAATTTGTGACGAAAATTTGTATTGTTTGTGAACCAACTATACCCAACTCCTAATTTAGCCGTTGATGATATATCAATTAGTAAGATTAAAAATCCTCAGCATACCGCTTCATCAATTTAATTCAGTTTCAGGTATGATTTGCTTGCTCTATAAGGAGATTTTTCTTATGAAATATTCAGTCCTATTTTGCATGATCAGATCGCTGGGGCTGTTTTTAATCATATGAAATGGTTATAACGGTGCCAGCGTTGATTATGTTTTTAGATTAATCGTCACTTATTCTGAACAACGCAATTTATTCCCCGCCGTTATTGATGTCTCGAACATGCAACACCAATTGTGGAGCTGTGGCCACCTGCATCGCCGATTTTGACCAGAACTATCAAACAGACGATTCTGGTCGATTTTCTGTCGTTCTGTCGCCGATTTTGACCAGAACTATCGAACCCGCACTTCACTTATCTTGTTATTCTAAACTGTAACCATTAGGCCACCTTGCCACGTATGAGCGCGAATTATGTCATATTTTTCTCGGAACGAGCAAGTTGAGTCCCTTTTCTGTACGAGAGATCGCGAACTGTCGGATTCGGAGAGTGTTAATTGATTCAATAGAATATGTTTGATATAGATACGAAATGCGGAGATGTTTGATAATCGAATGTTCCTAAGCTTAATTTTTTTTTATAAATTTCAATATTTTAACATACGGTATATAAAAGTTTTCGGCTAGGAAGTGATAATCGGAAAATCGAAACCACGAGGAAAATAAAGGAATGCGACGCCATGAATTCGAATATTGATACATTTTTCTAAACATACTTGTCTAACACCCGATTAATGGTTTATTGAAATGTGTATTTTAGAAATAAGAATTAATATATCTTATTTTATCCTTGATTGCATATCAAAATGCGTTGCGTTGCTGAAGCGACGTAGGGAACTGCATCTCCAGATCATTCAATCACCGCTACCAACTGCAAGGCAATGGGAATTTGATTAGATTATGCTTTGTATTAGATTGTGCATTTAAATGGTTCTGAAATTTATTGTACAGTATGAGGTTTTTGTACGATGGAAATTCCAAGTATTATTATTTAGAATGTCTCTTTTGAATTATTTTCAAATGAGGTATCCAACAAAGGCTCGGTTTTGTGCAGGCAAGGAAATGACAATCGGTGCTAATTTGGAAAATTTTATCTAGGTGAGAAGCAGCTTCTACGAAACAGAATGAAATTAATTATTGAATAGAAATTGAAAGCCAAGACTAATCAATTTCTTTCTATTTTACTTACCTTGGGTTTTATAATAGTCTTGAAAATAAGTATATCAGCATAAATGCTCGAAGAGTTTTTACCCAATGAAAGAGGAGACGATTAAGTTAACATGAAAACAGGATCTACTTACTTTGCATTTAAAATCAGGAGTGAACCAACCGCTGCACACTATAATGAGCTTGTATGTTTTTCCGTTCACAACAATAGATTCTCCAAGGTTCCCTTCAACTTCTTTTCCTATCTTCTGAAGTGGAATGCCTTCACCTGAAACCAATTTTCCCCCGGATACCTCAGTGGCTGAGGGTGGGGCGACTCCTGCTTCATCCGCAACCATCAGCGGACTACCCGCAACTTGGAGGACAGCTTCGGTGAAGACAAGTGCAATGCACAGGAAAGCGAGAGTTGATTTGGCCATCTTCATCTAAACTGCGTTTCTCAAGGAGGTGCTTGGATGTAGTTTATCAATCCCAATGTCAAGGAGGAGGACCAATGCACCCAGGACCTGTGCCAAAACTAATGTCAAGGAGCTAACGTACGTAGGTACCGGGGCTGTAGTGCTGCGTAACTAGTGAAGGTCTTATACTCCAGTTTGAAGTAGCAGCCACTTGAGTTTATGACCTTATTTACCCGGAGATAAAGTGAAATTTGTTCGGAGTTATTCAACTCAGCATTATTTTTTAGGATAGAATTTTGAACAATAAGTTAGTGGAAAAACGATATATGTCGGAGATCCATTGGAAACATTTACGCGATGTACATTGAAAAAGGACATGATCAAAATATCGTGTTTATGATAAAATTATTTGACAACACAATATTTATCCCCTGTGGAATGTTTATAATACGTCGTTGAAACCTTTAAAAATAATGATGTATTTTCCAACCGAAAACGAATGGACAATTACCTTTTCACATATGATACTCGCCGAATATCTTATTTAATGCTAGTACCAAGTATTCTTTGTTAGGAATTAGAATTTGAATGTTTCCAAAAATGCTCGTTTGATACTGAAATCGGAAAACAACTATTGAAATTTACTAAGGATACCATGAATATTTATATCTTGGTAGATACTGAGCATTGACAAAACTGTATCATACAAATTTTTTGCGTTTACCTAAATTTAAGAAGCTTTCCTGTTGCCGAGCCAGTGAGTTCGGCGACTGAACCGACTTTTTATCTATTAATACTATAGCATTGTTACCGCCTGTTGTCACCCACTTGGCATTGACGCTTGCTGTGATGTGTTTATTGCCGACACTGTGATAGCGCTGCTAAATTAACTACGTACAAGAGCAATTTCCTGGAAACTTCGCATGCGCGTTCCGTGTTGAGATGAAAAACTAAATACTGTGTCATGCAGCAAGTTTTAGCCAAATAATTTTCTATTATCACTTTACTTTCATCAATTCTAACATCATACTGACTTTCCACGCTTGATAAAATTCGATAAAGTTGGTACTAATTTTCCACAGACATTTCAATGAGTATCATGAATACGGCATTTTACCTGAACTGTGTCGCATCTCAGAGCAAATTAACGAAAATTTCGACCGTGAAAAATGTCGTCTGAAAAGAATGTCGAAGAAAGTCCAATGGACCAAAGCGGCTAAGGCAGTACTGATTTCGAAGAAAACGACGATCAGATGAGCGTGGAAAATTCCAGCGATTAGCAAATGCTCTCACCCGTCGACATTGTAGGGCAGGGCGAGCCTGAACAGCCCAGGCGTGAAGTTAGCGCGGTGCTCCTGGAGAATGACCACCTGAATAGCCTACCCGACCCTGAACGAGATGGCAAACTTGCTTTTTCCTGGCAAACAATTCCCGCGACCAGGGAAGAAGATCGTCATCGCTTCAGTGGTCTCGCTAATACTGATCCAGTCGTGAGCTAAACTTACTGGAACTCAGCATTTGATTCAACTGAATACTTTCAAGCTAAAGAAAGCGAGGAAAACGGTTCTGGAATAAATTATATCATCATCGCCTACCAACAAGAAAGTGCAAGTGAGACGACTGATATGAGTCTGGACGAGCTGAATTAACCCCTGCAACAGGAAGACGTTGAGAGTGGGATTTCTGGCAATGAAGTTTCCAAGGGTGCCATCGAAGCTGAAGGAATTTGGACTTCGGATACTCAAAACTCATGTTAGTTACAGCAGCACATCGAACTGAGCAATTGCCTGGATAATTCTCTTGCCAAGAAATCGGATCCAGTACAGGATAGTTTGGTTAGGGATGATGACGAAGGTTGGGATAGCGATGAAGTGCAAATAATTTATGAGAGAATTACCACGCCTGTGCGCTTGGAACTAAATGCAGAAATCGATGCACCGAAGAGTCAATAATAAAGCGAAGACTAATGGGAGACTGCGGAAGATAAGAAGACCGTGGACGAATTCTTCGATAGCACTCCCAACTGGAACATTACTTCGACCTCTGCTGGCCGATTCACAGTTGAAGCTTGCTCAACTACGTGCGATGACGATAAAGTTTATCTGTGTTAGAGTTCACTGCTTTCGCGCATATCAGAAATTGAAAAGCGGTAACAAGTCTTGGGTGATAAGCAGCGAAAAAATAAGAAAAAACTATGGAATTATTTTCGGTTTTTGGAACGCGAGTCTGAGGAAATCATAGACGGGATATTGACTAAAATCGACATCATCGAGCGAGCTATTTCCAACTCGTACCGACTTTACGACGAACAAATTTCTGGAATGCGACGACGTCTGGAACAACTTGAGGCCGAGAAAGAGCTGCTCAATGAACGACTCAAGATCAGTAACATGCTCTGCCACATTAGGGACAATGCTAGACCGAGCCAAACAACTTCTGGCTCGTAGAAATCCTCGAAAACTGAGTGGAACAGCCGGAAAAATTCCACGCTGGACAGTAAACAAAGTTAGTCCAGGGTTTGCAGTTTTGGATTCTCATCGGATGCGGATGGTTGCAAAGAGCACAAAAACCGAAACGACACACGCTGTGAGCCTTAACCCATCTCAAATGAAACGGCCAATTGTTCTACAAATGCTTTTGAATCGAACGAAAAGACGAACATAACGAAGAATATTGAAGACTCTGAACTAGGAAGCAGCGTGAGTGCGGATGATGCTGGATACTAGCATAACTTCAGTAATGATTCCAGCGAAAGCACATTCATATGTGATGAATGTTACTTGACACTGGAAAATGAAGAGCCGACAGCTCTCACATTACCTTCAAAACCTGATGATGACCCTAACAGCAGGTCGCATGACAGTCAGGTCGTCTCACTAAGCTCTGACTCAATTTCGGAGCTGCAACCTACTGAAGATTGGACAAAGATCATTGAGAGCAAGCAGCCGAGCGATGAATCTGAAGATATAGACTACACGCCAGAAAATGACCTGTTTCCGTACAGCGATGTTTCGGAGGAAAGTGTCCAAAGTGAGAAACAATCAGGGTTCAAGCTGGGTTGGTTGATCAAGAGAGCGGCCAATAAGTTCAAGAGGACTAAAGAGATTCAAAATCAATTGCCAACCTGTGAAGAGGAGTCCGATGAAGATGATGACGATGATGATGATGATGAAGGCAGAGACGAAGTGGATGATAATTGTGACGGATAGAGACAACATGATAGCGCACAAGAAAAGCATCGCATCGGCGATAGTACTGATGAAATCTGATTGATTTCTTCAATTAGTAACAACTGATTTTTTTTTCACTCTCCTTGTAATTTTAAATATGTTCTTTTCGTGAATTGGTGTTTCTTTTTCCAACTGAAAAGGTACAAAAGGAAGCATATGGAGCTACGTAAAAGTAATAAAATATTTTTTCATTCAGAGAAAGTGGAAACAAAGGCTTCTTGAAGCGTAGTCACTGCCTGAATCTTTGTGTGGTGACACTCCCGCTCGTGTTGGAGTATCGATAATTACTTAATGGTTCAATTTATGATTATTTTCGTTCTACACTGATTATTCATATAATAAGAAATAATATGTATCTATGTGTCCATATTGAAAGATATTTCCATTTGTAGGCTCGAATAGGTTCATTGCTTACTAAGTAAAGTTGCTATTATTAAAAAAATTCGCTCAACATGGCCATCTTATCGCAATTAAAGAAATGGATGGCAAACGTCAAAATTATTCCCTCGAACTTATGAGGCAAATTAATGATCCCACTGACTAAAGTAGAAACTATAAGAGTAGAAACTGTGATCTTTTTTTTTTTATTTAAAAACGTCTTGAGAAGAAAATTCGAATAAGCAATTATTGTGACAGCGTTTAGTCAGTTGACTCTTTACTAATTGACGCTATGCCATTCACTAAAGCTATGACGTCCATATTTAATACGCTTGGAGTGGAGCTAAAAATTCCACAATTAAAATATTCATAAAAATTAAAATGGCTCCATTTAGTCTATAAATTGTGTTACCAACGGTAGGGGCTGGAGGTGGAGCAGTTCTGAGGTTGGCGACGAGAAGAGCTTGTCTTCCTGGCAAATGACGTCGCTAATCGCGAATAGATTTTGTTGAAAATTTTCAATCTATGTTATTTTTACGTCTATTGCCCGATGGATTGCTACGACCTGCCGTCTTCGAGTCAGTCGGTGCAAAACTAAAGCGACAACTGCTGGTCGAGAGGCCAACTTAATATAATAGTTCAGGGCCTATACTTTCAAAACTCGCAAAGTGAACGTAAGTACTTACGCTCTATTTTCTTGTCTATGATTGGTGGATTTTGCTTGAAAAACCGTCAATGACTGGCTGATGAACTTACGATCTCTTAACTTTTTTTTGAAAGTATGGGCCCTGGTATTTACTCAGCAATGGGTGTGTGCTTACCAACCCACAAATTAAGCCAAGGTTTAATTCATTAATAGTTTTTGTTGGTGGGAATATGAAAAGTGTGGAATATTCATGATTCGATATCAATGAAAGTCATGTTTTGGTTAGCTGCGGCCTGAAGTAATTATAAGTTTTCCAAAGGAAAACTTTCATGGAGAATAAAAGCAAAACGAAATTAACACAATGTTGTGTTCAAAAATTTGTGCAGTGCATATACTTTTGAAGAAATGAACTGACTGGTGAATCGAGTGTTAAATTGAATGCGAGCCACAAGAGAGATTTTGCAAAAAATTTCTATGTTCAACATCTGTCCTAAATCTTTCTATATTTTAATCTTCTAGATCGCAAACAAAGCTCATTGAAAATATATTGATGAACAAGCATCAATTAATTCTCATTGTTCAGGAGTGTTGTCATGTCTTAGGAACCTCAGGCTCATGTTTTGGTGTATTATATAATGTACGTATCTTCACGTAACAATGCACCCTCGTTCAAAGTCGGCCGGCCTTGGGCAGATTAGATGAATTGGTTAGAATAAATCCTTTGTCTTCAAACAAGGAAAAGATACAGTTTCCAATGCGTGTGTTATTGTATGAACACACATTTACTATAGTAATCTCCTGTTTGCAGTTTTTAACTTCAAGTGCCCTTGACCAGTGCATTCAACTCTCTTCCGCATATGAATGCTTATTAGCTCATTTTCATTTTAAGGTGTAACGTCATTCCAA